AAAAAAAAAAAAAAAATTAACTGGGCATGGTGGCACGTGCCTGTAGTTCCAGCTACTTGGAAGGCTAAGGCAGAAGGATCATCTGAGCCCAGCAGATTGAGGCTGTGGTGGCTGTGAGCTTGCCACTGTATTCCAGCCTGGGAGACAGAATGAGACTCTGGGCTCAAAAAAAAACCCAAAATAAAAACAAACAAAATTCATACTTACACATCTCCCTTTCCCCTAAGAAAAAGAATACATAACCATCTGTACTCCACTGCGTGGTGGGATAATCTCTCTGTGATCACAACCTTCCCACCTTCTCACCAGTGCACACCAATAAATGTGTATGCCTTTTCTCCTATTAATATGCCTTTTGTCAGCTGATTTTCAGTAAATCTTCAGAGAGCAAAGGGTAAGTTTTCCCTTGGTCCTTACAATAATAACAAACATTGACTTTTAAATGGGTAAACTCCATGGGATATGACACTAAAGCTGTTAATAAAATACAAAGCAAAAAAGTAATAAAATAAAATACAAAGCAAAAAATATCAGTAAAAGAAAAAAAATCCTGGAAAATATCCAATAATATCTTGAGTTAAAAACATAGTATTTACATATCTAAACACTTTATTTATTCATTTAGCAAATATTAATTCAGCACCTCATCTATAATAGCTACTAACAATTATGATCTTTTAAGATTGTTTTTAAATCTAAGGGAAAAAAACAAAGTAGAATAGTGGATCTTTTTAAGACTCACCAGTGATCTGAAGTTGTGATTTCATGGTCAGGCTACCCATTGAACCAAGTTGTGATCCACTTTCAGACATACCACCGATAGGTCAGCAAACCTGAATAAGACAAAGGAGACACTGTAAACATAAAAAATTCCCATTTAAAAAATATGTTAAAAGTGCTAACCTAACCATTACTTAAGGCCCCATAACCACAAATGGCTCAACACTGCTAAACACAATTTTCAATTGTAATCTTCATTCTACCTAACCTATCACAAAATCTGATATAGTTGATCATTCCCTCCTCCAAGGTTTACCTTCGTCCCTTGAGTTCCTGGTTCAAGCTACAAACATTCCTTTCCTGACAAAATACAAGACACTAAATTTGTCTCCCTGTCTCTGCACTTGCTCCCTATCTATGGCACCATACATTCTCACACAGTAACCCAATCACAATAAGTTTTTTAAATGAAAGTCCAGGCACAGTGGCTCATGTCTGTAATCCCAGCACTTTGGGAAGCAGAAGCAAGACCAGTCTGGACAACTGGATTCAACTGGATTCAAGACCAGTCTGGACAACTTAGCAAGACCACATCTCTACAATAAATCAAAAAATTAGCTGGGTGTGGTAGAGTGTGCCTGTGGTTCCAGCTACTTGGAAGGCTGACACAGAAGGATCACCTGAGCCCAGCAGGTTGAGGCTGCGGTGACCGTGAGCGTGCCATTGCACTCTAGCCTGTGTGACAGTGAGACACTCACTCAAAAAAAAAGTCATATCATGTTCTACTCTGCTTAAAACTTCCTATCTCAGTCAGGCATGGCGGCTCACGCCTGTAATTCCATCACTTTGGGAGGCAAAGTCAAAAGCCCAGGGTTCAAAACCAGCCTGGGCAACATGGCGAGACCTCGTCTCTATAATAAGTTAAAAAATGAGCTGGGCATGGTGACATGCACCTATAATTCCAGCAACTTAGAAGACTGAGGTGGAAGATTGCCTGAGTCCAGCAGGTCAAGGCTGCCGCAGCCGTGAGCACACCAGTACACTCCAGCCTGGGCGACAGAGTGAGACTTTGACTCAAAAAAATAAAATAAGCCAGGCTCGATGGCTCAGCCTGTAATCCAGCGCCTTTGGGTGGCTGAAGTGAGTGGATTGCCTGAGCCCGTGTGTTTGAGACCTGCATGGGCAGGCGAGACCTCATCTCTACAATAAATAAAAAAATTAGCCGGGCGTGGTAGCGCGCGCCTGTAGTTCCAGCTACTTGGAAGGCTGAGGTGGAAGGATCGCAGGAGCCCAGCAGGTCGAGACTGTGGTGGCTGGGAGCGGCCACTGCACTCCAGTCTGGGCGACAGAGTGAGACCCCAACTCAAAAATAAAATAAAATAAAATAAAATGAAATAAAAAATAAAAGACCTCCTAATTCACTTAAAATACAATCCTTACCTTATGCTTACAGAAGTCCCACTCTATTCTGCCTAAGTGACTCTCTGGCCCAACCTCACATTATTATTCTCTCCACCTACTGGAACTCTAGGTTTATTTCTCTTTCTTATCTACACTAAGGTCATTCCAGCTTTAGGGGCTTTTTTTTTTTTTTAGACCAGTCTCTGTCACCCAGACTGGAGTGCAGTAACACACTCACGGCCACCGCAGCTGGGCTCAGGTGACCCTTCTCCTTCAGCCTTTCAAGTAGCTGAAACTACAGGCGTGGGTCACCATACTGGCTCATTTTTTGATTTATTGTAAAGATGAGGTTTTACAAAGTTGACCGGGCTGGTCTCAAACCCCTGGGCTCAGGCGATCCTCTCACCTTGGCCTCCCAAAATGTTGGGAACACAGGCATGAGCCACCACACCCAGCTGCTTTAGGGACTTTAAACTTACTATTTCCTCTGCAGGAATGCTCTTCTCTCTATCTTAAATAGCTAATGCCTTCTTAATATTACCTCCGAGGAGAATTCTGGCCAGACTACTGAATCTAAAGTCGTCATCTTGTTAGTTTCTGTCACGTAATTAAATTTTTTCTCATTTCTTTGGTTGTAAGGTCCACTAGAGTAAGTACCTTCTCTACCTCATGAACCAGTGCTTGGAATATTCTACAGTGTTTGTTTGGTTTTAATTCAAGTGCACAATGTAGATTAAGGTTCACTTTTATCTTACACAGTTGTACAGATTTTAATCTACGCAAAATGCACAATGCCACGTTTCCACTATTACAAGTATCATAGTCTCACCACCCTTGTGCTTCACCTAGTCATCCCTCTCCCCTCATCCTGAACTCTTAGCAACCACTTATTTTTACACTCTCTGTAATTTTGCCTCATCCAGAGTATCAAATAGTTTGAATCATGCAACAGAGTTTTTCCAGGCTAGTTTCTTTTGCTCAGCAATATAATTTAAAGTTCCTCTATGTCTTTTCATAGCTTGATGGCTTTTTATTGCTGAATAATATTCCAGTGTGTAGTTGTACCACTGCTAATTCATTTACCAACTGAAGAATATCTTGGTTGCAGTCAGAGTCCTCCTCTGTTGACCAGGCTGGCAACTATAAATAGAGCTGCTAGAAAATATTTACTTGCAGGCTATTATGTGGATGTAAGCTTTCAACTTATGGGTAGATTGGGTAAACAGGAATACAACTGCTAAATGATAATGGTATGTCTGTGTTTTAGCTTGTAAGAAACTGCCAAATGGTCTCCCAAAGTAGCTGTACTACTTTGCATTCCTATCAGGATTGAAGGAGAATTCCTGTTGCTCTACATTTAGTACTGTCAGTTTTTCAGAATTTAGTCATTCTATTAGGTGTACAATATTTCATTACTGCTTTAACTTGCAATTTTCCTATGACATATGATACTGAGAATTTTTTTCATGTGCTTATTTGCTATCTATATACATATATATTTTGTCTGGTGATGTTTCTGTTAACATCTTTTGTCCACTTTTTAACTGGGTTGTTTTATTACTGTTGAGTTTTTTTGTGTACTTTAGATACAATCCTTCGTCAGATATGTTTTGCAAATATTTTCTCACAGTCTATGGCTTATCTACTCATACCTTTTATAACTAGTAGATTTAATTTTAATAAAATTCAACTTGTCAATTTCTCCTTTCATGGATTGTGCTTTTGGTATTGTATCTAAAAACTCATCACCATCTCTTCAACAAATGAAGCCATGACAACTGAATATCCATATGTAAAAGAATGAAGCTGGACCCCTCATTTTTTTTTTGAGTTGTAGTCTAACTCTGTCGCCCAGGCTGGAATGCAGTGACACGTTTAAGGCCACCTCAGCCTTGACCTGCTGGGCTCAGGCGATCCTTCCACCCCAGCCTTCCAAGTAGCTGGAACTACAGGCACACACCACCACGCTCAGCTAATTTTTTGATGTATTGTAGAGATGAGGTCTTGCCAAGTTGCCGAGGCTAGTCTTAAACCAGTGGGCTCAGGCAATCCTCTCAGCTTGACCTCCCAAAGTGCTGGGCTTTATAGGCATGAGCCACTGCGCCTAGTCTCCTATCTTATATTCAAAAACTAACGAAAAATGGATCAAACAAGTAGCAAAATAGACATTATTCTCAAAGAACTGCGGATGTGTGTTTCTACCTGTCTAGTAAGCTCCCTGAAGGACTGGTTCAAGGGTTTGCCTTTGTTTCCTCTGTCTCTGCGCCTTCTCAGGGTAAGGCAGCTTTTCTTTTCTTTTCTTTTTTTTTTTGAGTCGGAGTCTCACTCTGTCACCCAGGCTGGAGTGCAATGGCACACTCACAGCCACTGCAGTCTCAACCTGCTGGGCCCAAGAGATCCTTCCGCCTCAGCCTTCCAAGTAGCTAGAACCACAGGCATGTGCCACCACACCTGGCTTTTTTATTTTTATTGTAGAAATGAGGTCTTACCATGATGCTCAGGTTGGTCTCAAACCCCTGAGCTCAGGCAATACTCTCACCTCCGCCTCCCAAAGTGTTGGGATTCTAGGCTTGAGGCACTGCACCCAGCTAATTTTTTAATTTATTGTAGAGATGAGGTCTCGCCATGTTGCCCAGGCTGGTCTCGAACCTATGGGCTCAGGCAATCCTCTTACCTCAGCCTCCCAAAGTACTGAGATTACAAGCATGAGCCACCCCGCCTGGGCAGGGTGAGGCAGCTTTTCAAGCAGTATTTGTCAAAAGCATGTAAAAGCAAATGTAGGCCAGCACGGTGACTCACGCCTGTAATCACTGCACTTTGGGAGGTGGAGGCGAGAAGATTGCTTGAATCCAGGGTTGAAGCCTGGGCAACTTGACAAGACTTCATCTCTACAACAAATCAAAAAATTAGCTGAGTGTGGTGGCACACATCTGTAGTTCCAGCTACTTGGAAGGCAGAGGCAGAAGGATCACCTGAGCTCAGCATGTCACGGCTGCGGTGGTCATGTGCATGCCACTGCACTCCAACCTGGGTGACATGAGTGAGACTCCAACTCAAAAAAAAAAAAAAGCAAATGTATTAATCACTGCAACTGAAACTTGAAGCAAAAGATAACAGGTACAGCACAAAATAGCCTGAAAAGACTGGATTGAAGAGGCTGGAGAAAGCAATTGTGGGGGGTAGGGTAATAGGGACTTTGAAAAGCACCTGCGGGCCAGGCTCAGTGGCTCAGCCTGTAATCCGAGCACTTTGGGAGGCCAAGGTGAATGGATTGCCTGAGCCCGCTGGTTCAAGACCAGCCCAGGCCACTTGGTGAGACCTCCATCTCTACAATAAAATAAAATAAAAAATTAACCAGGCATGGTAGCGCACACCTGTAGTTCCGGCTACGTGGAAGGCCGAGGCAGAAGGATCGCCAGGGCCCAGCAGGTCGACGCTGGGGTGGCCATGAATGTGCCACTGCACTCATGCCTACACGACAGAGTGAGACTCCAACTCAAAAAAAAAAAAGAAAAAGAAAAAGCACCTGGGTATTGTGGGAAATCTAGAAGTCCATGCATATGTCCAGGGCTGGATGCATGCTCAGAAAAGACTTGAGAAAACACTAAACTCTTAATTCTGGCTGACCTTCAGGCTCCCCCACGCATGCAGGAAGTAAAGGCTAAGGCACAGTTTTAAAATACCTGGGCTAAGGATTTGAGTGCCCAACAGA